CGGGAGCAGGCCCCAGGGCAGGGAGGCCTGCAGGGCAGCCCCGGCGGCGGCTGATGTACTGGGTCCTCTGCTGGTCCACGGAGGCTTCTGCGGCGCTCGGGTAGGTCCTGGATCTCCCCAGGAGGCACACCTGCGCGAGAAGGGGAGTCACCTCCTGCTCAGGAGCGCAAGTCACAGAACAGCTGCTCTCCATCGGGAGAGAAAGCCTCCTTCACACACCACAGGGCCAGCGGAAGCCCAGGAGGACGCACATGCTCAGATCTGCGCGGGATGGACAGACGTCTGCGCGCTGACTGAGAGCTGCGTCACTGTGCCCAAGGGCACCCACCTGAGACACTGCGCCCACGTCAGCCCCCCTCCACTCCCAGTCCCTGAAGGTCACCCTAAGAGCTTTCGGGGAGCGACAGGAGGAGCTGTCTTTATATCGGTCTCAGTCCAGCGCGGATGCTCCACCTGGCTCCTCCCTCCCTCCTTCGCGCCTGCCCACCAAGGCCACCTGCCCTTCAGAGCCCCTGGCGCCAGGCCGTCCAGGGACGCTGCCCAACACCGAGTCTGTGCTTCCTCCTTGGGCACCAACTACAAAGCCAGGCGACAGGCGAGGCGAGAAAGCGAACGTGAGGAATCGCAGCCCCTCCAGTGCCCGGCTCCGCCACCTGCAGCGCGTGTGGCCGCGGGCAGGAGCGTCCCTGTGCGGAACGGGCGCCTGGCGCAGGATCAGCCCGCTGAGTGCGCATCCACTCCTGCATCTGATCCCACACCACCGTCACAAGGCACCGAGGCTGAGAGATTAGGGAATAGTCTGAGGTGCCTACAAATGCAGGGGAACAATAAAAAATCAAACTGTGGGACCCTCGTGCCCACCCACACGACCCAAACCTCAGTTTGCAGCACCTCTAACCTCAGAAGACACCGACTTGCCCGACGAGGGGGCGAGTGAGAGAAGGACGAGTCCTACGGGAAACCCGGGTGACTGAGCAGTGAGCACCCGGAGCCGCGGGGGCCCTCCCACCACCCGGTGGGCGCCGCCTCCAAGACACGGTCCTGACCGCCTGGCAGTCACAGGAGGGCGCCTGGCCAATCACATTGCAGGTAAATCTGAAGTGGTGAGGCTCTGAATAAGAAAACCTTGAACAGTTCTGAGCTTCCAAACAGCCTTTAACTTCAGCCAATCGTTCACGAATCCAGGACTCAGAACTGAGTGTGTTGAGCCTCAGACAACACTGCCCAGGCCAAGAGGTCTCCGCACAGGCCCCGCTGACACCTACCCCGGGGAGGGAGGGTGGAGACGCCTGAGCCCCAGCGATGACCGCGTGTGCGCTTGGCACGGCGCCTTTGGGAACACCCTCCTTCCCAACACCAGTGTCCTTTACGGCTCCAACCTGGCCCTCAGCCCTCCCCTCAGCGCCACCGCCGCCCGCCAGGCACCAGGGGCTGGACGTACGCGCTTGGTGGAAGGGATCCGCAGGCAGTCCTCCTCCACGTGGAAGCCGCAGGCCAACCCCACCTCCCGGATGAAATCCAGGTACTCCCGGTACTGTGTCTTCTCACTCTGCCGCCGGCGGTACCTTCCAACGAAGTCGAAGAAGCAGCAGGGGAGGACGAAGAAACGGCAGCGGTAGGAGGACCTTCAAAACACCCACAAACAGACACCAGAGTCTTCAGCAGGTTCATCAGAGAAAACCCAGCCCAAAGCCACGTGGCCATTCACTACAGAGCCCTCAGCAGAGGGCCACGTGGCCATTCACTACAGAGCCCTCAGCAGAGGGCCACGTGGCCATTCACTACAGAGCCCTCAGCAGAAGGCCACGTGGCCATTCACTACAGAGCCCTCAGCAGAAGGCCACGTGGCCATTCATTAAACCCTCAGCAAAGGGCCACGTGGCAGTCGTGGATCAGAAAACAGACGCCTGCAGCTGGCAAATTTTGTTTTACATAAAAAGTGGAGTACAGCCTCCCCAGTGAGATTCCTGGAAACAGTGCAGCCCCCAGATCTCCCCGTGAGACACGCAGCGAGACTCCCACACAAGGGTTTCCCACTCCAGCTGCTCTGCCAGCTGCACCCGCACCGAGTGCAGGGCTCCAAGATCTCAAGGCAGCGGGGATGGGAGGCAGGCACAGCGCGGGCAAGACTGACTCCGCGCCCTGCGGCTCCGAGAGCTGGCACGGTTCACAAGCCGCTGGAGAACGGGCAGCAGGAACCGGCGCCTAAAGGTCTCCTCTGACACAGGTGAGCGCCATCTGACATGCATGACGCTGCTGGAGAGACAGACGTGACTGCTGCCACCTGTTTGTGCACCGACAGGTTTTCCTTTGAAGATAAACCCTCCTCTTATAAAAAAAAATAGCAAAGAGCAAAAAAATCTTCCAGAAAAAATGACACATCTTTCACCACTGGATATAAATATCATAGAAGGAATGTTTTGATCGTCACTGTCCAATAGAAACAGCGTGTGAGCCACGTATGCAACGGAGTTTTCTCTGGCCCCATATTTCAAGTAGTAAACTAGATGGAATTCTAGATTTACCCGATATTCTCAATATCTCATTTCAACAAGCTGAACCAGCTGCACGTCAGTGCTCAAGGGCCACGTGCCCTGGGGCTACTGCTGCCCAGCGAGGTTCAGGCACCAGCAGCCCAGCCAGGCACCGGCCGACTGCGCTTCTCCACTCACCGGGCCGCGATGACAGGGATCCACGGGGTCAGCTCATCGGAGTGGTTCCCGATTAGCCAATCAGCGTCAGGGAAGAGGGTCTCGTCACTCGGGGTGATGGCAGCTTCCTGAAAGGAAGACCCGGAGGCCAGTCAGTGAATGCAGAGCTGAGGCAGAGGCGGGTGGCCCCGCAGAAGCACCGCCCCGCCCGGCAGGGCTCCACTCTGAGCTCCTGGGTAGAAGGCGAGACCAGGACCAGGAGTGAGGACTGCACGGACCTGCCTGCGGTCGGCCCCAAGGGCACGAAATACTGGCAACTTCCAGGGCCATCACTAGAGAAACCAACGCTTTTCTCGGGCGAGTCTCCTTTTGACCATTGAAAATGCGCTTCTTCACACACACACACACACACACACACACACACAGGGTGCCACGGGGGCCGCGTGAACTGCTGCACGTGCCAATGCCCTGAGCCCCCGTGTCTGCCGGTACCCCCTCTTACCCCGACGGGCATGATGACATCCTGGCCGTTTCTGAAGTTAAGCTCGAGGGGTTGCTTTTACAGTTTAAGGGCTCTCAACACCAGCCTTTGTGCTCAACAGACCGTCCTGGCTTGGACCAAGGCCTGTTGCTGCCTGCCCTTCTCACCCGCAGGCAGGAGTCTGCCCTTGGCCTGCGGACGCGGGGAATTTTGAACTCAACCATGTTACTCAGACCCCTTCAGACCCGAGTTTAAAACGTTTCAATTTGTTAGGATGTGGGACTACACAAGCAAACACAACCCTGTACACGAGCAGAGCATCCACATGAGACAATGTCTGCAGCACCACCCTCGACTTTTACAAGAAAGGGAGGCAGAGAAAATACAGATGCAACCGTGTGCCCGAGACCTCATTCAAAGCAGGGAGCTAACGCCGGGAGAGGTCCTGGCTGCCACACTGTCCCCCTACTTTTGTTATAATAACGAAACGTGTCCTGAGCAACATGTCGCTAGGCAATGTCATCGTCGTACGAGCACCATACACCAGAGCGCTACTCAGCTGCTAGGGGCGCTGCTGCCCTCCGCCCTCAGGAGACGGTGCTCTCTCGTGGGCACCAGCACCAGCGGATCTTGGCGGAGGATGGAGTGACCTGGGAACTTCAGCCCATGGTCACGGGCTGGACCCGGTTACCAGACGGCTGAGAGCAAGCGGCTGCCAGCTCCACAGGGCCCAGCCCAGCCCAGCCCAGCCCAGGTTCATTTCACCGCCCTCGCCTGGCCCTCACCAGCTGCCCTCTGCCCCCGGCAGCTCCCAGCACCACGGAAGATGTGGTCCCCACGGCAGGCCCCACGCAGGGACACGCCTCCAGCCCCAGAGGCCAGCATCCTCTCCAGCTGCACAAGAGGCTTTGAAAAATCCAAACGTTCACCTTTTCCTAAACCTCAGGTGAATCGGGTCGGTGTGAACGGGTGGGCAGCATGACTGGGCTACACACAGAAACACACTCAGCAAACAGCCGTGACGAGGGGACGGCCACAGGGAGGCGGGGCACGAACAAGCCAGTACCTCTAAGTGCGTCTGCGGCCCATACACGTCCCAGATCTTCCTTCTTCGGACATCAACCCCTCTGCCTGGATGCTGAGAGTGTCAGAAAACGCAGGTTAAGTTCTGTCACCAAAACAGATGAGCAAGGACGAGGGACAGCCCGCAGTACGGCCGTCAGCGGAAAGCACAGGGACCCACGCGAAACCTGGATGCGACAGCTCAGTTTCTCAGAATGTAGACGCGCCCCTGCCAGGCACCGGCGGCCCCTGCTGTGGGTTTCAGCAAGGGGACAGGGTGGGGTGAAGGAGCAGCTCTGTGGGTTCAGCAAGGGGACAGGGTGGGGTGAAGGAGCAGCTCTGTGGGTTCAGCAAGGGGACAGGGTGGGGTGAAGGAGCAGCTCTGTGGGTTCAGCAAGGGGACAGGGTGGGGTGAAGGAGCAGCCCTGGCTGGAGCCCAGGAGATGGGCCTGGAAAGGGAGGCACCTCGGCCGTCGGGTTCAGACCGCAGTTGGCTCCTGGTCCAGCTCGCATCCCTCAACCCCCGCCCCAAGCCCATCCTGGTGGCTTGGCACCGGGCACACAGCGACTGCACTCCGGGACCACACTCGAGCCCTCACAGGCACCCGAATTTCACACCCCTGTTCCCCCCGCCCCCCGTCTCCACCCACCACCTCCTGGTCACCACCGAACGGGCCAACGTGCAGCGACCTATTTACAGTATTGGTTACTCTTCTAAGCAGCTCAGGGAGTACATGGTGCGAGCCCCGTCCCAGCTCCCGCCGGGAGGACAAAAATGTCTGACCCGCAAGGCAGAGGCTGCGGCGGACAGATGTCAGCCTTGGGGTCAGCACTGGGCTTCCAATCCCAGCTGACCCTTGAGTGTGAGGCTGCTGAGCCCAGCCAGCTGCGCCGGGGGACCAGGTGACCGTCCTAGCGCGCTGGACTCGCCGGGCAGGCAGAC